ATAAGATTTAAAAATGTGTGTGAATATATATGTGCCTGTGTATGTGTATATATGCATGTGTCTCTATATATTCTTCTGTAAAGTAAAAAACACTAAGTGTACTAAATGTTAACGGTAATTATTGCTGAGTGGTAGAATTACAAGTTAATATTTGTGTTTTCTTTATGTATTTCTATGGTTTCCATGTTTTCTATGAGCAAATTGTTTTAAAAGGAAAAAACTATCATTTTTTAAAATGCAAAAGCATAAGCAGAGACTTCAGTATTCATAAGATACCTAATTATAAAAATGACCAGTTCTGGTCACAAGGCAGAAACCAGATAAAGATATTTAACAATTATTCGGGCCTGAGTCTGAGACAATGGCCTCAGGCTCTATAAATCCATATTTTCTCCCTGCCTAAGATCTGCTCTCATTTTGGATTAGTGGAAAACACTGGGCTTTGCAGTTAAAGGGCCTGAGTTTAAATCCCAGGTTTTCCCTCTTCTTAGCATTTGACCTTGGGTAAAATATTTAACTTCTCAGAGCCTCAGTTATCTCACATATAAAACAGAGATAATCGTGTTTCTTATTGTTAAAGTTAATTTAAAATTTAAATGCAATAATATACGTGCCTCGAACAGTGCCTCGAATATTGCTCTGCTTTTCCTTCCCTACGAGAACAAAGTATCACAGTCCAGATGAGAACAGCAGGGGCAAACGAGATGTTCCGGTGGCCTCTGGGCCTTTTCCAAATTTTGTAACAAACTCAGAGACCCCCAAACTATAGTTGTGGTTCTGAGACTGCACCTGTGCACTTGGTCCAATCTTTTTCCGTCACAGGCAAAACTAGATCTTTGGCTTTTGAACTAAAACCCTCAAATGGCTCCACACAACTTGGATGCTCTCAAAGCACAAATACAAGCTCTTCTGTATCAAAGCTTCATTAAAGAAATAGAGTCCTGAGAGCCCACACTATGTACACAGAGCAGAATCCCCTTTCATGCTCTCACATTGCACTCTCAGGTCGATGACATTCATTAAATGGAAAAACGTGTGAGTAATCCCATTGGTTATGTTTGTAGGTCCCGAGATGTGGCTGTAGTTAAAGTGACCATGAAGTTCGAACCCAATAAAGTGAATATTCAAAAGAAAAACTGCCTTGTGGAGGGAAAGGAGACAGTATGCATAAATGCTACAGTGTGTTTTGATGTGAAATTAAAATCTAAAGAAGACACGATTTATGAAGCTGGTAAGCATAATAATTATAGCAAGTATTTTGGGGCAGAGAACAATATATTTGCTCCAGCATCAAGAAATCCCAAAAGGATATTGTATTTCCTTTGAGCATAGTGAGCTGCACATCCCGTTTGCCCCCATGAATATGTTGACCCTTGAGAAAAAAATCTGATGCAGGAATAGGTTACGGAACCCTCTAAATTCTGGAGCAGAAATTACATGCTTGTATGCAATGGCCTCAACATTCCATGATTCCCCTCTGGCTTTCCTATATACTATGAAAAATTGTGTGCTAAAAAAAGGAAAAAAAGAAAAAAAAAAAAACCTATTCAGAGGTAGAATTTGGAAATTGGTCTCCAAAAAAGTCCAGTTTTCCCTCTTGGGGCTTTTCACAAAGAATCTTCGCTCCCTTCTGCTGCCCCCTCCTGGGGAACACTGACATTGCAGAGGACCTGAACGTTTGGCGTCCCCCATGTTCCTGCGATCCCTTGGCTCCACTGAAAAGACACCTCTAGTTTTTGAGAGTCAGACTTGTTCTGTGCTTGTGTTCTCGGGTGCATGATGTGAGCCTGTGCATCCACCTCTTCCCTATGCTCTCCTTTTTTAAGGCAGTTTTTTATGATGTTGAAATATGGTGGAGTCAAAGCTATGAAGGCCAGTGGACATATAACAGTAATTTACTCTGCAACCAAATATAAGTAGAATGAGAAAAACTATAAATCTTTAAATTCTGTTTATCTTGATTTGTTCTATATGTGCACATATATTCTCTATAATAGTCTGACTAGAATGTAAGGAGGTACAGGAGTGTATAATAATCATCAAGGTTTCATAGGCAACATTATTTCAGTCCTATTTTTGTATAGGAACTAAGTGATCGAATAAGGAAGATGATAGTCTTCATAGAAAGCAGAAGATTTCACTTATTTTCCTTATTGTGGTATGCTTATTTTATTGAGCTTAATAGTGCTCTGGGCATAATCTGTCTCTTTATAAAATAGGTGAAAATGTCTTAATACATATTTTTGTCTCTGTTGAAATATAACATAATCAATATTCCAAGCAGGGTCCCAACATTTCTAAACTAAAAAAATA